GCTTGAGCTTCTCCACTGCCACCAGCACCTCCGCCACCCCTTTCCTCAGGTCCAGACATTGTCGAAACTGCTCCAAGCGGCTCTGATACCACTTGTTATAGTCACAATAGGCTTGAATGTGCCTAAAACGAAAGATAGAGAGCACAGACGGATTTCTGCACAGCGGCTTCAAACGTTGATAGCGTTCTGCTCACAACTGCAAATGACTTGATTCAAATTGGATCTGGAGCGTCTTCACGTCGTCTACAATTAGCAATTTAGATTGCACGATTTGATAAAGAATTGACGACACAGCGTCGGTTTGAACGAACGGTACTTTGGCAGCCACTATAGTCTTAGAACACAAGATAGGAAGAGTTACGAGTTGGGAATGACTCCCAGCTCCTACAAACCCCAAGAGCCGAGGTACAGTGATGTGGAACAGTGCCACACTGTCCCCAACCACGAAGGGTCTCGAAACTACCCTTCACTAGGGCCTACACCAAGTGAAATGTTACACTACACAAAGTAATGCAACTATCTTCAATATCTTGAGGTGTACCCTTTTGGCAAGCTTCGAAATCACTTGAGGCTTGACACCAAGGCTCGGGCTCTTCATCACAAACTCATCCTTGAGTTCTTGATGGGTTTGCTGCACACACCTGCGACACGCCGAACGTTCGACACAGGACAAAATAGAAACCGCGCACGACAAAATAGAAACCGCGCGCGAGACACAAACGACCGCGTAACACGCGTCTAGCGATAACTCGCTATTGACTCGACACACACACTCGACATCATGACTCAACATTCACACACAATTATAAGCATGAAATATATATTATCCCATGCCCTCATACCATTCCATACACACACACATTCACGCACACGGACAACAAGCCGAGTGCAAACCGTAGGGTTGCACCAACAGTTTGCAGGCTGACTCCGCACTTCATCAGCTGGTGCAGGGACAGGAGGTTGTACCGGAGTTCTGGCACGATGAGGACGTCGCTGATGTGGATGCAATAACCGGTGTCATGTGACTCCAGCTGGATTTGGCCGCGAGCTCTGGCGTAGATGGTCTGATTGTTTGCAACGGTGATTTCGACTTCGTTGGAGAGTCGTTCTCTGTTGAGGATGAAGATGTCTGTTGTCACCATGTGCTGTCCACAGCAACTGTCCAGGTACCATGTGTTGACCTCCTTTCTTGCTTTGGCCGGATTGGCGAGCTTCGGAGTGATGTGATGTTCCATGTCGTGATTGCCTTCGTAGTCGTAGTAACATTCTTCGTCGTCGTCTACGATGCGTGCAGGTGGCGAATCCTGAATCCACTCCGGTGCTTCCCAGTCAAACTGCATTCGTCCAACGGTTAATTCATCGTAGGTTGGATCATTCTCTTCTTCTTCTTCGACTGATCCCTCGGGCCGCTCCTGAGGCGGGTCTGCGAACATATCTTCCCAGCTGCGGAAGAATCGGTAGTGACGGTTGGGGAGAGGCGGTCTACGACGCACCATGCAAGTCAAGACCTTGCTTTTGCCCTTGTCGTTTGTGTTCGCAGAGAGACGCGCCGGGGCTTGGGACGTGCTGGCGACGGCTGGCGGCGACACAGTTTGGTTGCGCGCTGCGGCTCCTCCTTGCTGGTGAGCAGCGGCACCTTTCTGTTTGTTGTTGTTGCCGTTCAGCTTCCAGCAGTCTTGAATCATGTGCCCAGTCTTCTTGCAGTACTTGCAGAAGAGTCTTTTCTTGTCCGGTGGCGCTTGAGCGTAAAAGGCAATCTTCTCCTTCTTGTTGCCTCGTTCGTTGTACAGGTCGATTTCCTTCTGCTCGGAGAGAAGCGTGGAGCAGAGGGCAGTTTTGCTGAGGGTGCCTTGTGTGCGAAGGAGGGACTTGCATTGGCGCCATTCCGGGCTCAATCCAGCGAGAATGATTGTGACGAACATGTCGTCAGGGAAGTTGCCGCCGCTTTTCCTGAACTGATCTCTTAGGTTCCTGCAGCGGTGGTCCGGCTTTCTCGCCGGGGAACATCTTGACATTGTTCAGCTGGTTGAGCAGGCGACTAAGTGTCACCGAATCTGTTGCCATGTGGCAGGTGCGCAGGTGCTCCCAATACTGTTGCGCGGGTGCCCACTCGTTTTTGAAGGGGCGAATGCTCAGCTGTTCTTCGGGCGACAAGTTCCGGATCAGGACGGTGAAGGCCAGGAGCGATTCGTTGTAGTATTGCGTCTTCTCCTGAGGTGAGCCGTTTGCTGGAAAGGGGTATGATCCGTCGTAGTACATCCAGATCTGAGCGCCCTGAGCGAGTAATTCGAATTCGAAGCTCCACGTGTAGAAATCTTGTCCGTCGAAGGGCTTGGTAGTTCTGAGCTTCGACGTGGAGAGGAACTTGCTCTGCATTGAAGCCATTGCCTCGTAATGTGTTTGTTGTGCTTGAGCAGATCCTTGAGCTCCGCGGTTGTCGAAGGTGAAGGATCGTTCAGATCCAGCTCCTTGAGGATCGGGGGGTCTTCGGGCGTAACTTGAGCCGTCAATGCTCATTGGCTGGTGGCTCTCCAGTGCGCTGATGCGGGAGATCAGCTGCTCGAGGAGCGCTGTGTCCACGGTCGTCGTAGTAGAGGCGACATTGGTGGAAGGTTGCACTGGGTTTTCCCCAGCCTCTCCGCAGTCTGCGCCTAGCATGTTGATGCCCTTGATGTCGTTGATGTTGAAGTTTAATTTATAAAGAAGCTTTGTCAGAAGCCCCTTTTAGCAGATCCTATAATCCAAACTAGCTCTCATACCATGTTTAGAGTGAGGATCTTGGATAGAGTAGGAAGTGCCTTTAGTAGAGTTGGTAGCGGAAGACTTATAAGAACTCAGATCATAGTGAATGTAAATGACCAAGTTGATTAAAAGATAGAATACAAGGAATATAAATAGTCCTAGTCTAGCCATGTACTCTAAGGGGTACATTCCCTTATTATAACTGTTTTACACGCACCAGCAGCACGCGGGGCTGCGAAGTGCGTAGCAGCAGTGTGCGATAGCAGCGGGGCAGCGGATCTTGCGGGACAGCTGCACGTGTTGAGTAGCTCGCGGGGCAGCGCGGCACCAGCGCGAGGAGCAGCGGCGCACGCGGGGCAGCTCGAGGGGTAGGGGCGCACGTAGCAGCAGCGCGCAGGGAAGCGGGCGGCGTGAGGTGCGGGGTAGTGGCGACGCATGGGGCAGTGTATTCGGGGTAGTGTGGGGTACAACCAACGATGGGTCCATGAAAAAAATAACGGTCCTAAGGAGCTAACTGCTCTGAAACCATGTTAGAATGAAGTAGCACAGAATGGATTGGACTAGGAACAGTAAGATACAAGTAGGAAACCCTAAATGGGTTGTACCCTCTATAGTGCACCTACAGCCTACAAACTAAGAAATGTATATTTTGACAGATAAAGGTCCCTCGAAGTAGGCGTCGACGACGAAACGCATCCGTCTGCACAAATTTGTGCACCGGATAGGGGAACCTTCTCCCAAGCGAGGGCGGTGCCTTTTCTTGTAATCATTTCAAGCTTACTAGCTTCGCTTGTCCAATCGTACCCGTAATAGGTACTCAGTTTAGAAAGTGATATACCGTATCTAATACATGTGCCATGTAATCAGACCTAATCTATTCTGTAACTCGGCACTCTCACGACAGACGTTGACTCACTCACTTCCCCCTAGCGTCAGTCAACAGTTCCACACCGTTGACTGGATTCGCGTTGACTCCATCCCAAAATCTCTGAGTTTCCAAGTTACGGGATCGCTACATTGCGGTAGCTCTCCCGTAAGAATTCGAATACCTACCTCAAAGATTGTGGCTCACATACCCCTCCGTAACTCTGGTAGGGATGGGCTGTCAAGAAATTTCTTGGAAAGGTACCAGCTCAATCTCAGCCGCTCATCTGGTGTTATCAGAAAACTGACTCTCCCGTAACTTCGAACTGCACACCCAATCTCAGCCGCTTATCAAGCGATAACAGAAGACTGACTCTCTCGTAACTTCGAATCGAATAAGCCAATCAGCGTGTGTTCGTGCTTGGATCTGATTGGGAATGCACATTTTTGTGATTGGCATTTTCGCGCCGTGATTGGGTTGCTCATTTGAAATGTGATTGGTTGCGAAACTCATTTCATGCGAAGTCAAATACGGTTAACAAGGCTACAATGCCAGTTACAGGTACACGACTTTGGTGCTCTAATATTATCGTAGAAAATTGAATAAAGGCTGGTTACGTGGTTATAATGTTACATCGCGTTACCCTAGTGGTAACAGAACTGTTACAAATTCATAATGTGGGTACAAATTAGTAACATTTTACATTTTTTTTTAGGAACGCTCCGATATAATGTTTTGTTCAGTTCTGTATAAAAATATGTATAAATTATATTCCTTTATAATTTATATAGATAATTATACGCCACAAAAGTAACAGCAAAATAGAACCACCATACAGCTTTTATTATACGAAGCCTCTCCAAAATCGCCACAATCCCACAGGAACCGGAACTTAATCTTCCATGCCCTCATTGCTGATAAACACAGTGCAATTTGTCGCTTCATTAAACTGCCACGCATTCTCGGTAGTGTCCCACCAATGACCCCTCGCATTGGTGCGCATGTTGATCGCATGCCTCATCCAGCGCCGCACGTTATTGTGGTACAGGACCACTCCCTCCCTGTTCCGTGTGCTACTGCGTGACAACTCTTCGCCGTGCAGGAGTTTGTGCTCAACCTGTGAAAGAGACGCACATGATATTCGCATAAACCAGTAGGGGCAGCATGGGTTGAACATCGAGGAATGGTATTCGCTCTACTTACCTGCCAACTACTAGACCATCACTCTCCCTCCAGCCCACTCACCATTACCCACCGACCAGCCCACTCACCATTACCCACCGACCAGCCCACTCACCATTACCCACCGACCAGCATGCTCACCATTACCCACCGACCAGCATGCTCACCATTACCCTCCGACCAGCATGCTCACCATTACCCACCCACTCACCCCGAATAGCCAAAACGCGATCTGCCTCAGCTTTAGAATAAGCACATCCTCGCCCTCACGGCGGAAAGATGCTGCAATTCCACGGGTGATCACATCGTTGGAGAACGGGACGCCTTGCGCATTGCAATGCCACGTGTGAAGGGTGATTGACCCATTCACTGTACGCGGGGTGTGCAAAATCAGAGGGGAGTTGGGAGTGGGATCAGTCAAAGGAAAGGGAGGGTTAAACCAGCGGCGACACCACGTGCTCACCGCGCCGCCTGGTCTGAGGGGGAGAGAAGGCAGGGGGGGTTCGGATGGTATGGGAGGGTGCAGAGCATTCAAGGGAAGGTGAAATACAAAGGGAGGGTTAAACCAGCGGCGACACCACGTGCTCACCGCGCCGCCTGGTCTGAGGGGGAGAGAAGGCAGGGGGGGTTCGGATGGTATGGGAGGGTGCAGAGCATTCAAGGGAAGGTGAAAAACAAAGGGAGGGTTAAACCAGCAGTGACACCACGTGCTCACCGCGCCTCCTGGTCTGAGGGGGAGAGAAGGCAGGGGGGGTTCGGATGGTATGGGAGGGTGCAGAGCATTCAAGGGAAGGTGAAAAACAAAGGGAGGGTTAAACCAGCGGCGACACCACGTGCTCACCGCGCCGCCTGGTCTGAGGGGGAGAGAAGGCAGGGGGGGTTCGGATGGTATGGGAGGGTGCAGAGCATTCAAGGGAAGGTGAAATACAAAGGGAGGGTTAAACCAGCGGCGACACCACGTGCTCACCGCGCCGCCTGGTCTGAGGGGGAGAGAAGGCAGGGGGGGTTCGGATGGTATGGGAGGGTGCAGAGCATTCAAGGGAAGGTGAAAAACAAAGGGAGGGTTAAACCAGCAGTGACACCACGTGCTCACCGCGCCTCCTGGTCTGAGGGGGAGAGAAGGCAGGGGGGGTTCGGATGGTATGGGAGGGTGCAGAGCATTCAAGGGAAGGTGAAAAACAAAGGGAGGGTTAAACCAGCGGCGACACCACGTGCTCACCGCGCCGCCTGGTCTGAGGGGGAGAGAAGGCAGGGGGGGTTCGGATGGTATGGGAGGGTGCAGAGCATTCAAGGGAAGGTGAAATACAAAGGGAGGGTTAAACCAGCGGCGACACCACGTGCTCACCGCGCCGCCTGGTCTGAGGGGGAGAGAAGGCAGGGGGGGTTCGGATGGTATGGGAGGGTGCAGAGCATTCAAGGGAAGGTGAAATACAAAGGGAGGGTTAAACCAGCGGCGACACCACGTGCTCACCGCGCCTCCTGGTCTGAGGGGGAGAGAAGGCAAGGGGGGTTCGGATGGTATGGGAGGGTGCAGAGCATTCAAGGGAAGGTGAAATACAAAAGGGACAACACGCGAGCGACAACAAGTACACTCACCCGGCTTGTACTGGACCTTCCAAGCGTCAATCAAAGTGGAGCCCATGAGCTGTCGATTCTTATCAGGATGCTGGATGTAAAGGTCGTACGACTTGTAGAGTCCGCACCGCCCCTTGGTAAGTATGACGTGGCGCTCGTCCTGCAGTTTGTTCCTGATGTACCCACGCTGAACGGGGTCGTACAGGTACACGTTGAGCAGGTCCCAACGCTGCTCCGCGGTCCTGTACTTGAGTGCGGCGCAAATCGCCCCTAGTAGCACTCTCCGGGACGGCCAGAAATCCATCTTGTCGTCGGCCAGCTCCCAGAACAGGATCGTGATGGCATCCAACATGGCAACCTGCAGCAGAGGTGGTGAAGATGAGATGGACAGGTGGCAGGGAAGAGGTGGACAGATGTGGTAGAGATGACTTGGACCGGGGAGATGGGAATGTTGAGGGGAAAAATAGTGGGGATGACGAGGACAGAGGTGGTGGTGATGGCGTGGACAGATGGGATGGTGATGACGTGTCCACGCCATAAACAACAGTGAACGAGGCAACTTACATAAAGACCTTTGTTGACCTCAGGAACTCGCCTCATGGCAGCTGCAAGGTCAAACACGAGCACCTCCTGCTCCGCTGTCAGTTGCCGCATGCCGTGCTCGACACCACGAACGTGCGCATTCCCCACAGCCCTCCCAAGAAGACGATCGTTGATGGGTGCCACAGGGTGCCTTTCAGACTGCACATTCCTGGAGCCAGCACCTGTGTTTGGAGACGCTTCACGCGGTTCAGTGGGGTTCGTGGCCGGGTCCTCAGGCGAGGCCGACACAGACTGCCCGCGCCAAAGGTCGGAGTTCTCGTTCAGCAGTCGTTGGTTCTCACGCTGGAGCGCACGATGAGCTGCGCGAGCTTCTTCAAGCTCCATGCTTGAGGTCCGCATTTTAGCAGCAGCGTCGTTGTTGCTCCCTGCAGCACGGCGGAACTGCAGCCCTGCGCCAGCATCGGCGGACGTGCGCCCTTCCGCCTGGCCAACCAGCCCGCCAAGTGCAGCAGCGTCGTTGTTGCTCCCTGCAGCACGGCGGAACTGCAGCCCTGCGCTAGCATCGGCGGACGTGCGCCCTTCCGCCTGGCCAACCAGCCCGCCAAGTGCAGCAGCGTCGTTGTTGCTCCCTGCAGCACGCCCTGCGCCAGCAGCAGCGAACGTGCGTCATGCATCCAGGCCAAGCATGCCGCCAGATGCACCATCGGCGGAGTTGCTCCCTGCAGCAAGGCCGAACTGCTGGCCTGCAGCAGGATTGGCGAAGGCCCCACCGTCGGACTGGTCCAAAAGGCGACCAGCTGCAGGTTCGGTTGATGTCCCTCCCACCGTCGGGCCCGGCAGCTCGCATGCGCCAGCGTCGCCGGACGTCATCCCAGCAGTCTCGCAGTGCAGCCGCCAGATGCAGCAGCGGCGACGTTGCTCCCTGCAGCAGGGCAGAACTGCTGACTTGCGCCACCAATAGCGGACGTGAGGTGAGCATCCAGGCCATGAATGCCGCCAGATGCACCATCGGCGGAGTTGCTCCCTGCAGCAAGGCCGAACTGCTGGCCTGCATCAGGATTGGCGAAGGCCCCACCGTTGGACTGGTCCAAAAGGCGACCAGGTGCAGGTTCGGTTGATGTCCCTCCCACCGTCGGGTCCGGCAGCTCGCATGCGCCAGCGTCGCCGGACGTCATCCCAGCAGTCTCGCAGTGCAGGCCGCCAGATGCAGCAGCGGCGACGTTGCTCCCTGCAGCAGGGCAGAACTGCTGACTTGCGCCACCAATAGCGGACGTGAGGTGAGCATCCAGGCCATGAATGCCGCCAGATGCACCATCGGCGGAGTTGCTCCCTGCAGCAAGGCCGAACTGCTGGCCTGCAGCAGGATCAGCGGACGTCCGCCCTGCAGCATTGGCGGAACTTCGGCCTGCCGCCTGACCTGCTCGCCGCCCAGCCAACCGGCCCTGATAACGCAGACCCTTGGACAGATGAATGGTCGAGTCATCGGGCAGGGAAGGGTGAGCAGTCGGCAGTCTCACGCCATTGACGCGCGCGGAAGTTGTCACACCACGCGAGGCCGGGATGCGTGGAGCATGACCACTTGTGTTGATCGGCCGATTTTCTTCGTGACGAGGCTGACTTCCAGCCGCGTCGGAAAACACAGCGTGCAAAGAGCGCGTCCGAACAGGACCTGCACAAACGAGAACCAACGACGATGTGTCACAAATGTCTCCTGGGCTGGCGCAAACAACACAAAGAAGCGTGAAATGTAGCGTGGAATGATGTCCAAAAAGCAACATCATAAAACTCACCGTCAGGAGAATGAGGACGGTCCGCCACGTTGATTCCAAGAGAGCTAGCTTGGCCCACTGATGCAGCACGAATCGCCTAGGTCCCGGGCAAGGCAGGAACACGACCAGCACCGCGACGCCCGCGGATAGAAGAGATTAAGGCGGTAGCAGTTGCGAGCGACTGATCCATGACTGAAGATGTATAGACGTTAAGGAAGAGAGATGATCGGTAAGTTTGTGATGAAAATGAGGCGGACGCCCCATTTTATAGTGACGACAATACCGTGACTCGTGGATATACGGTGGGAGGCTAAACCCTTCACTGAATAAGGCTCGGGGATTGCTGTGAGGTCTGGTAACGCTCGTTCAGCAGGTGACGATCCGTAACTCAGCTGATAACTGGGCGCTAGGCCTGGTAGAGACCTGAGGTAAGTGGCTTTGGTCGTCGGCTAGGGTTGGTACCGAACGCTAGGCCTGGTGTCAGCTCACGCAAGTGTCTGTGGTCGTCAGCTAGGGTTGGTGCAGAGATCTCTAATTCAAAATCTCGAAATTCAAACTGTCGAACAGAGGAGATAGAGCAGGCCCAGGGTTGGAAAATAGTGAGCAAGCGGACGGACAAGGGAGAACGCCCAGGGTTGTTCTCAGGGTTGGCGTGAGCAGGCCAAGGGTTGGAAAACAGTGAGCAAGCGGATGGGCAAGGGATAACGCACAGGGTTGTTCCAGGGTTGGCGTGAAGCTCTCCTGGCCCTTGATTACGACACACTCAGCAGATCCAACCGCTGAGGCTGGCTACATGAATCTCTCCTGCTAGATTGGGATGCATCCAGCGATAGAATCATTTTGTCGCAACTCCAATCTCGGTTGAGAGGGTTTCAAATGGAAACAAAAATGAAGCATACTACTGGAAATTGGATGAATAATTAGACAACAATCAAACATATGAACTTAAGGTGGCAGACAAATTGCAAACGTCACCAAGGTTGGCTCAAACCCAACAGGCATCAATAAAGACACCCAAGAACAAATAAATCTTGGAAACAACACCGACGCAGGCCGATATCACAAATCATTAATCTAATGCATATCTATACTTTTCAATCTAAGTTGAAACTGATAGGGGGGTCTGGAGTAAGTGCCATGATATCCCTAGATATTAAAAAAACAAGTGTGAAATAAGCACATGCCTATGATGGCCAGAGAATGAGATGTCAAGTGTTATGAGCTTCATTGGTACAGGTAGAAATTGAGTGTCTTGTGAAATAATGCATAAACAACCCTTTTTTGGCATAGTCGTAGAGTAGGTCTAGGGGATGTTATAGTCACAATAGGCTTGAATGTGCCTAAAACGAAAGATAGAGAGCACAGACGGATTTCTGCACAGCGGCTTCAAACGTTGATAGCGTTCTGCTCACAGCTGCAAATGACTTGATTCAAATTGGATCTGGAGCGTCTTCACGTCGTCTACAATTAGCAATTTAGATTGCACGATTTGATAAAGAATTGACGACACAGCGTCGGTTTGAACGAACGGTACTTTGGCAGCCACTATAGTCTTAGAACACAAGATAGGAAGAGTTACGAGCTGGGAATGACTCCCAGCTCCTACAAACCCCAAGAGCCGAGGTACAGTGAAGTGGAACAGTGCCACACTGTCCCCAACCACGAAGGGTCTCGAAACTACCCTTCACTAGGGCCTACACCAAGTGAAATGTTACACTACACAAAGTAATGTAACTATCTTCAATATCTTGAGGTGTACCCTTTTGGCAAGCTTCGAAATCACTTGAGGCTTGACACCAAGGCTCGGGCTCTTCATCACAAACTCATCCTTGAGTTCTTGATGGGTCTGCTGCACACACCTGCGACACGCCGAACGTTCGACACAGGACAAAATAGAAACCGCGCACGACAAAATAGAAACCGCGCGCGAGACACAAACGACCGCGTAACACGCGTCTAGCGATAACTCGCTATTGATTCGACACACACACTCGACATCATGACTCAACATTCACACACAATTATAAGCATGAAATATATATTATCCCATGCCCTCATACCATTCCATACACACACACATTCACGCACACGGACAACAAGCCGAGTGCAAACCGTAGGGTTGCACCAACAAACTCCCCCTCGGATTGTTGGCCTTAGGATATGTTGCTCTCTCAGTTCAGAGCCATCCCAGCCAGCTTGCAACACTTCCAATGCTGCTGCTCCACCAGCCTCTTGGTCATCATGTCAGCCGGCTGCCCCGTGGTCTTCACGTAGCGCAACTCAACTTCACCCGCGGTTACCATGCTCCTCGTCCAATGCCACTTCACTCTCATGTGCTTCGTGAGTCCATGCAACACAGGGTTCTTAGCAAGAGCAATGGCACCCTGGCTGTCACAGTACAGTGGGGTAGGTCCTTGCTGCTCCTCCCCCAATTCAGCCAACAAACGCCGCTGCCACACAATCTCCCGTACGGCACGGAAGAGTGCCATGTACTCGGACTCCACCGAGCTCAAAGCTTGGTCAACCTGCTTCTTGCTCTCCCAAGCAGTTGGGCCTCCACCAACACAGCATATGAAGCCTCCCACACTTGTCATGTCCTCTGGTTCTGATGCATATGAAGCATCCGAGTAGGCGGTGAGGAACAAACGCCCGGGTTCAACACCATCCGCGCCCTTTTGGCGCCTTTGTGCCGCCGCCGAGTATTGCAGCCCAACGGTCGGTGTTTGGCCAAGATACTTGGCCACCCTCATTCCAGCTGCTACCTGCTCCTCATTAGGGCATTGCACAACCCTAGTCAGCTGCCCGGTAGCAAACGCGACGTCCGGTCGGGTGTTTACCGCCGCATACATGAGGCTGCCCACCAACGAGTGAAATCGGCACCTCTCCTCTTCTCCAACGCTCTCCTCCTCTGGCCCCTTCACACACTTGAACCCAGAGGGAAAGGGTGTAGCCACATGGCCTTCACTCTGCCCAAAGTTGGCAGCCAATGCCTCCAGGTACTTTCGTTGATGCACCCGCATGCACCGCTTCTCCACATCTCGTTCGATGTGGAGCCCAAGGTAGAAGCTCACGTCACCAAGGGCCTTGCACTTGAACTTGTCTTGAAGCTTCAGCATCACCTCCTTCACAAGGTCAGAAGAGGGTGAGAAAATGAGGATGTCATCCACATAAACCACCATGAAACTCCTCTGCTCCCCCTCGCCAAGCATGAACAAGGAGTGATCGGCCGTTGAGGGAGTGAAGCCCATCCCCTCCAACACTTCGCGCAGCTTCATGTACCATTGCCTAGGGGCCTGCTTCAGCCCATAGAGGGCCTTCTTCAGCTTCCACACTCTGCCACTACCATCATCAAACCCCTCTGGCTGCGCCATAAAAATCTCCTCCTCAAGGATGCCGTTAAGGAATGCCGTTACGATGTCCATTTGCTTTACTACCCATCCTTTGATGGCGGCTCATGCGAATAGGGTTCGCAGCGTCGTCGGCTTCACCACAGGGGCAAACAGCTCCTTGAAGTCCACCTTCTCCTTCTGCTGGTACCCCTTGGCTACAAGCCTAGACTTGTAGCGCTCGATCTTGCCGTCGGCATCCGACTTGATTTTGAAGAGCCACTTGGACGTTATCGCCGTACGCCCCTCCGGTAGCTCCACCAATTCAAACGTGTCATTCTCCTCGATGCTCTTCAGCTCACTCTCCATGGCCTTCTTCCACTCCTCAGCATCACTACTCTCCAAAGCCTCCTTGAGAGTTGCTGGTTCTCCCGGCATCTCCACCGGAGAGAAGAACGCGAAGGCACACTCCTCGTAGTCACTCTCCTCGTCATCTCCGACCATCATTGCCGCTCCGGCCAGGGCTGTCTTGCCCTGCTTTCCCGGCGCATCATAGGTCAGCCTATTAGGGGGTTGAACTCTCCTCTTCCCCCTTCCTTCCTCCTCAGCTGCAGGGACTTGAAGGCCTTGGCGTTGCTGCGGTGTGGCTCGAATCCGTGGAGCACTCGTAGTACGGGAAGGGAGTGACGGTGCACGCTCGCTCACTTGCTGCACCTCCTCCTCTTCTTCCTCTGCATCATTGGCCTCCTCTCCCCCATTCACAAGGGAGGATTGCCTTGTGGTTGTGCTGCCGCTGCTCAGCTCCAAAGACAGCTCCACATGCTCCAAACCGGAACTCTTCACCTCCCCAAACCGCACGCCTATCTTCGCCTCATTCTCCGCCTTCCAATCCTTGTACATGAACTTCTCCATGAACTTGCAGTCCCTGCTCACCAAGAACTTCTTGGTGAATGGGTCCCAAAGAAGCCATCCCTTGCTGTTTTGAGCCATGCCCAAGTGCACGGCCCACACCGCCTTGGCACCAAGCTTGTTGTGCCGAAGATGCTTAGGCACGAGCGCCATGCACATGCACCCGAACACCCGAAGCATATCCACCTTTGGCTTCCTTCCTAGCCACTCCACATAGGGCACCCATTTGTCTTCTCCCACATGAGTCAAGGCTCTGTTCTTGGCCACACACGCGCTCCGCACCGCATCAGGCCAGAAATAGTCGGGTAGCCCGGCTTCAATGAGCAACCCCGCGTGCCGCCTCCGTGATTGTGCGGTTCGCTCGCTCGGCGATGCCGTTCATTGCAGGGGAGTATGGCATGGTGAGGGAGTGCCGAATACCATTCTTCTTCAGCCACAACCCAAACTCCTTGCTCAGGAACTCTCCCCCTCGATCGGTGCGGATTGACTTGACTAGACGGTCTTGTTGCCGCTCCACCATCGGGAACCAATCCGTCTTCAACGTTTCAGCCACGTCGCTCTTCTTGGCCAGCACATACACCCAAGTCATGCGGGTGTAGACGTCGACAATGGTGAGAAAATACTCAGCTCCAGCAGCTCCAAGCTTCAGGGGGCCCACCACGTCCATCACCACCTCATCAAGCGGTGTCTTTGCCGTTGCCTCCGAACTAGGGAACGGAAACCGGGTGAACTTGGCTTGAATGCACGTCGGGCAGCCAAGCACCTCATCGGGCTCTCCCTTCACACGTATGCCAGCAACCATCTCATTCTTCACTAGCTGCTGCAAGATGGGCAGGGCCACATGCCCCATGCGCCGATGCAAGGTGAGCCAATCACACTCCCCCGTAGCCGAAGTTGGATTGGAGAATGCCGCGCTCGCAATAGCGCCCCACATACTCTCTCCGTAGTCCTCCTCCGCTGCTGCCTCTGGGTTCTCCTCACCCTTTTGCTGCTCCTTGGTTGCTGCACCACTCTCCTTAGGTTCACTAAACTTGCTGGTCCCTCCAGGTTTGCTCTTCTTGAGCTCATTCTCCTTAGCGCGACCGTTCGCGCCATCGTCGCTACCGACCGCTCCATCCTTGGTGCTGATGCTTGCTGCCACTTGCCTCTCCTTAGGCATAGGGACCACTGGGATCTGCCACATCTCGTTGTAGACATCCCTGTCCTCATGAAGGTCCCAAAGAATTCGATCGCCAAGCCTTGCGGTGTAGGTCTTGGCTCCCTTCGAGTTCGTGTCCATGCCGGCCTTTGCCAACCGCCGCACGGAAATCAGGTTTGCAGCAAGGCTGGGCACCCAAAGCACGTTCTTGATGCCCACCATCTTCCCATCAGCACCCTTGAACATGGCCTTGCCCATGCCTTTCACCTCTGCTCGCTGCCCCAAAGCCGATGTGACATGCTTCGCCGGTGACGGCTCGAGTTCGGTGAGCAAGTCCGGGCGAGGTGTCATGCTATAGGTAGCGCCACTATCAATCACCCAATAGTCCAGGGGGTGTAGGGTCACCTTCCCCACAGCTGCTGGCTCCTCAAAGCCTTCATCCTTCTCTGGACCAGCCGGTACTTGCGTCGACACGAAGTAGAATAGACCCGGGTATCGATCGTCGCTCGGGTCCTTGTCGTTGTCTCCGCTCTTCATGTTTGCAGCTCCGCCACCGCGACTGCCACGGCCTCCACGGCCTCGTCCTCTCCCTCCTCCTGCTCCTCTACCCTCTTGGCCTTGAGCAGGGGTCCAACCATCAGGGAGTTTGTAGCAGTCGCGCCACATGTGTCCGCTCTTGTGGCAATAGTGACACTCGCCGTCGAATCGGCCGCGACCGCGTCCGTAGCTCTTGTCGTCGCTGCCGTAACCGCCACTCCTGCGGCCTCCGCCGAAGTTGCTGCCACCAAACCTTCCTCCCCCTCGTCCTCTGCCTCTTCCTCGACCATATCCACGGCCGATGCTCGCTGCCCCAGCGCCATCCGCACTCGCCAACTCACGGCGGAGGAAATCCTCTTGAAGGATAGCTCGCTTCACGTCTTCAAGCGAGAGGCGGGGCAAGTCGCGATTAAGGTTGATGATGAGCGAGGACCATGACTCTGGGAGTAAGGCCAGCAACTTGGTCTTCTTTTGGAGCTCACTGTAGTTCAAATCAGCTCCCTCAAGCCGCGTCAACAAGTCGAAGAATTTCTGCACCCCTTCTTCAACCGCTTCGTCTTCTTCAATTCGTAGTGCCGCCATTTGCCGTTCCAACACCACCGCTACCGCCGCTGTTGCAGGAGCATGTACACCCTTGAGAGCAGCCCATGCCTTTGGTCCTTTCTCTGGTTCACGCTGGAATGGCTTGATGTGACGGATCTGACTGCTCCCCAACGCTTGCCCAAGTAAGAGATAGCCTTGTGCGCTCTTCCGCACCCACGTGCTCTTCTCCGGGTCGTTCTCGGGGCGCTTCTCCGTTCCTTCCATCACCTCCAGCAGGTCATAGTGGTCAAAGATGTTCTCCATCTTGAAGGACCATTCAGCAAAGTTGTCACCGTTGAACTTGTCAAGCCCAAACACCCTAGGCTCATCCCTAGGTGGGCCAAGACTTGGTTGCATGGGCGCCATGGCTGAATCACGGGGTTGGCCTTGAGCTTGAGCTTCTCCACTGCCACCAGCTTCTCTGCCACCCCTTTCCTCAGGTCCAGCAATTGTCGAAACTGCTCCAAGGGGCTCTGATACCACTTGTTATAGTCACAATAGGCTTGAATGTGCCTAAAATGAAAGATAGAGAGCACAGACGGATTTCTGCACAGCGGCTTCAAACGTTGATAGCGTTCTGCTCACAGCTGCAAATGACTTGATTCAAATTGGATCTGGAGCGTCTTCACGTCGTCTACAATTAGCAATTTAGATTGCACGATTTGATAAAGAATTGACGACACAGCGTCGGTTTGAACGAACGGTACTTTGGCAGCCACTATAGTCTTAGAACACAAGATAGGAAGAGTTACGAGTTGGGAATGACTCCCAGCTCCTACAAACCCCAAGAGCCGAGGTACAGTGATGTGGAACAGTGCCACACTGTCCCCAACCACGAAGGGTCTCGAAACTACCCTTCACTAGGGCCTACACCAAGTGAAATGTTACACTACACAAAGTAATGTAACTATCTTCAATATCTTGAGGTGTACCCTTTTGGCAAGCTTCGAAATCACTTGAGGCTTGACACCAAGGCTCGGGCTCTTCATCACAAACTCATCCTTGAGTTCTTGATGGGTCTGCTGCACACACCTGCGACACGCCGAACGTTCGACACAGGACAAAATAGAAACCGCGCACGACAAAATAGAAACCGCGCGCGAGACACAAACGACCGCGTAACACGCGTCTAGCGATAACTCGCTATTGACTCGACACACACACTCGACATCATGACTCAACATTCACACACAATTATAAGCATGAAATATATATTATCCCATGCCCTCATACCATTCCATACACACACACATTCACGCACACGGACAACAAGCCGAGTGCAAACCGTAGGGTTGCACCAACAGGGGACACAGGAGGACCACTTACAAGTTTATTTAGAGCACAAACATGATATTTATGAGCCTTAAAAGAATTCAAATTTGAGTGGTTTTGGAGCCTTTATGCAACCACAGATGAGTTTGAAGGCGTTCTGTATGCTGTATTATGACAGGGTATGCATATAAATATCGTAATCTTAAAGAAAAAACACAACTTTAAACTCCCAGCAGTTAGCCTAATCTCTGTGTTCAACACATATATTTGTCTGCTTGTTTCTTAAGACATCTAGATGTCATGGATTTGTACCGTTTTGAACCGTTGGTGTTGACATGCTGGTTTTGCTGCTTGTCAGTTTGGTTAGCATGGATGGTCACGAACGTGTGCTTGTTCGAGCTTGTTGCTGGGCATGTGTATTCAACAATGTCAGCCACACCAACTTCACGAAACGTGCTGAGCTGAGCCATCGTGAGATAGCTCAGTTAGTTTCAAATACCAGCATGGCTGAACGATAAAGCACCATAGCACCACTCGTTCACTACCAGCTGTTCTCTCTGGTCGTCACATTTTCCGCCAATTTCATCACTGTTTCGACGTGAGTCTTAGGACACATCAACGACTTCAATAATGTTGCGATATTTTAATGCCAACCTCGGACGAGAAGGTTGTTAGCGTGCTACTGCCGCGTAGTTCCCCTCGTATTATTGGCGCGTCCTAAGAACGAGCGTGACATACGTCGGGCAGCCATGCTAGAAGACTGTAACAAGGTTGCTGTCAGTCGCAAGCAATTGAGTACTCCCCGCTTGCGATTAATCCATCATCTCTTCCATCCTTACCATGTGTCTGGCTGTGAATCGCAAAACAGAAATGACCGTCTCACACGCTGATTGACTGCGTAAGGGCGTGGGCACCAAGCATTCAGCCAGAGATTAAGTACCATAGCACCATATTCACGCAACACAGTCGCCAGATGCGCACTTGTTTGCTCGACAGTGCATGATTGCTGTACTTTATGTTGTTTGCGTGTTGTACTGCTCTTACTTCATCCCATGATTGCTTGTCAGGCTGCACTGGGTTTACCTCCTGCCTATTAATACATGCATGGCTGTACTTTTTTTGTCTATCAGAAACGTCTGGTAATAATAAACATAAAAGTGAATGTTTGTGAATGTTGCCGCCAGACGCACCTTTGTCGACCTATTCAACTTATCCCAATGAACTCACTGATGACAACAATTATTTGCAGGTTGTCACCTTGTACTTACAATTTAGTGCTAGTATTCAGTAACATAAACATTTATAAACACACACCTAATTTACATATCCAGCTCAGCATTGTATCGAAATCTCCATACAGTGCTGTTTTTACTTTGTGTGTTCAAAATCTCGAAAGGAAACGCGAAGCGCCGTCACATCGCCAGGGCGAATTTCAGGTCTTCCCAACGAACCTGACGCGCTGCGTCTCCAGCGCTAATCCTAGCCAACCATCCAACCTGTTTCCCCTCGACACTCAACACTCACAAGGGTGAGACTTGTAAGCACAGCAGCAAATTCATACTTAAAGCAAGTATGGCTGGTGCTTCAATATTTTCAGAACACACAAGAATGAAGTAGCGAGCTATGGGATCGTTTGTGCAACCCATAAGGCTCCGGATTGTCTTGGCTGTACCTTTTTGGGCGCTGGTAATAGCGTGGCACGACATCACACCTTGCTTCACAGTACATCGCACAGCTCGCTACTGCATTATTGGAAGAAGATTCTCGTTGATGGATGGCTTCAGCTGCGAGACATGTGAGGTTGTATTTGACAGCGAGGTTGCACTCACAAATCACGAGCGTGGCGACAAATGTTTACTTGCTCACGCGCGTGCCAGAGCACGGAAATCCCGAAACACTGAGCAACACGTGACGCCAGGAATGCCTTTCACCTCCACCGTTCTTCCAGACATTGGAGGGGCAACTCCAGGCGGCACGCAGTATGTCGAGACGCCCTGCTCGGCGGCAGAGATGGAATGTGACCCCGATGAAGTCTTCCACGACGCCAGCGCTTCGTTTGCCGACGTTGACGAGCCTGAAGAATCACCTGAGTTCGACATGCTCCTGGAAACATTCAAGTTTTTGGCCTCGTGCAACAAGGGGACTGGTCTGAGCGCACGTGACGTATGGTGGTTCTTCAAGTTAATCAAGCACGCCGGTTTTGACATCAAAGCACTAAAGGACTGGAACACAAAGCATGCAGTGGATAAGTACGCCTTGGAGAAACTCGGCATCGAGAAACGGCGATACAAAACTGAAGACGTCAGTGTTTCTGGGTGGCACAAGTCGTTCAAGGTCAAATTCATTGACCCTGTGGAGGTACGTGTCTAATCTGTTATCTCTTGTTGTGCACATGGCTCCCACTGATCTATTTGTTCTACACATCGCAGGCATTACGTCGGATGTGGTCCGATCCAAAGAACCGAGAGGGGTTCATTCATCGGGCAGAGGAAGTGAAGAAGAACGAAGAGAGAGTGTACGGGCCAGCTCACACGGCTGATTTTTGGCTTGAAGCACAGGTTCGGTATGATGTGCATTGTGCTCTGACTCGTCATTTCGCACGTTCTATTCTAAGTCATTGGCTTGTTTTATGATACAGAAGCAACTGTCAGATGAGGAGCTGGTCTGCCCCTTCATCCTCTCGAGTGATGAGACCCTTCTCTCTGGCAACGAGCGTTTGAAAGCTTGGCCCGTATACCTCACCTTCACCAACATCCTACTCGCACGCCGTCGGCTGGATCATGGGAGAGTGTTGGTCGCACTACTGCCCGTTGCCGACCCTGAAATGGAACCATGGCAACGTGTTAAACTTTTCCAGCGATCGTGTGATATCGTCTTCAAAAGCCTCTTTGAAGTCTGTGGAAGGTAAGCATGACACTCCTGCTACGCCGCTGATATGCCGAGCCCTTCTTGCTCTCATGCATCACGCCATGCGTGGCTGGAGGTGGGGCCAGTGTGACATGCTGGGCCCTTCTTGCTCTCATGCATCACGCCATGCGTGGCTGGAGGTGAGGCCAGTGTGACATGCTGGGCCCTTCTTGCTCTCATGCATCACGCCATGCGTGGCTGGAGGTGAGGCCAGTGTGACATGCTGGGCCCTTCTTGCTCTCATGCATCACGCCATGCGTGGCTGGAGGTGAGGCCAGTGTGACATGCTGGGCCCTTCTTGCTCTCATGCATCACGCCATGCGTGGCTGGAGGTGAGGCCAGTGTGACATGCTGGGCCCTTCTTGCTCTCATGCATCACGCCATGCGTGGCTGGAGGTGAGGCCAGTGTGACATGCTGGGCCCTTCTTGCTCTCATGCATCACGCCATGCGTGGCTGGAGGTGAGGCCAGTGTGACATGCTGGGCCCTTCTTGCTCTCATGCATCACGCCATGCGTGGCTGGAGGTGAGGCCAGTGTGACATGCTGGGCCCTTCTTGCTCTCATGCATCACGCCATGCGTGGCTGGAGGTGAGGCCAGTGTGACATGCTGGGCCCTTCTTGCTCTCATGCATCACGCCATGCGTGGCTGGAGGTGAGGCCAGTGTGACATGCTGGGCCCTTCTTGCTCTCATGCATCACGCCATGCGTGGCTGGAGGTGAGGCCAGTGTGACATGCTGGGCCCTTCTTGCTCTCATGCATCACGCCATGCGTGGCTGGAGGTGAGGCCAGTGTGACATGCTGGGCCCTTCTTGCTCTCATGCATCACGCCATGCGTGGCTGGAGGTGAGGCCAGTGTGACATGCTGGGCCCTTCTTGCTCTCATGCATCACGCCATGCGTGGCTGGAGGTGAGGCCAGTGTGACATGCTGGGCCCTTCTTGCTCTCATGCATCACGCCATGCGTGGCTGGAGGTGAGGCCAGTGTGACATGCTGGGCCCTTCTTGCTCTCATGCATCACGCCATGCGTGGCTGGAGGTGAGGCCAGTGTGACATGCTGGGCCCTTCTTGCTCTCATGCATCACGCCATGCGTGGCTGGAGGTGAGGCCAGTGTGACATGCTGGGCCCTTCTTGCTCTCATGCATCACGCCATGCGTGGCTGGAGGTGAGGCCAGTGTGACATGCTGGGCCCTTCTTGCTCTCATGCATCACGCCATGCGTGGCTGGAGGTGAGGCCAGTGTGACATGCTGGGCCCTTCTTGCTCTCATGCATCACGCCATGCGTGGCTGGAGGTGAGGCCAGTGTGACATGCTGGGCCCTTCTTGCTCTCATGCATCACGCCATGCGTGGCTGGAGGTGAGGCCAGTGTGACATGCTGGGCCCTTCTTGCTCTCATGCATCACGCCATGCGTGGCTGGAGGTGAGGCCAGTGTGACATGCTGGGCCCTTCTTGCTCTCATGCATCACGCCATGCGTGGCTGGAGGTGAGGCCAGTGTGACATGCTGGGCCCTTCTTGCTCTCATGCATCACGCCATGCGTGGCTGGAGGTGAGGCCAGTGTGACATGCTGGGCCCTTCTTGCTCTCATGCGTCACGCCATGCGTGGCTGGAGGTGAGGCCAGTGTGACATGCTGGGCCCTTCTTGCTCTCATGCATCACGCCATGCGTGGCTGGAGGTGAGGCCAGTGTGACATGCTGGGCCCTTCTTGCTCTCATGCATCACGCCATGCGTGGCTGGAGGTGAGGCCAGTGTGACATGCTGGGCCCTTCTTGCTCTCATGCATCACGCCATGCGTGGCTGGAGGTGAGGCCAGTGTGACATGCTGGGCCCTTCTTGCTCTCATGCATCACGCCATGCGTGGCTGGAGGTGAGGCCAGTGTGACATGCTGGGCCCTTCTTGCTCTCATGCATCACGCCATGCGTGGCTGGAGGTGAGGCCAGTGTGACATGCTGGGCCCTTCTTGCTCTCATGCATCACGCCATGCGTGGCTGGAGGTGAGGCCAGTGTGACATGCTGGGCCCTTCTTGCTCTCATGCATCACGCCATGCGTGGCTGGAGGTGAGGCCAGTGTGACATGCTGGGCCCTTCTTGCTCTCATGCATCACGCCATGCGTGGCTGGAGGTGAGGCCAGTGTGACATGCTGGGCCCTTCTTGCTCTCATGCATCACGCCATGCGTGGCTGGAGGTGAGGCCAGTGTGACATGCTGGGCCCTTCTTGCTCTCATGCATCACGCCATGCGTGGCTGGAGGTGAGGCCAGTGTGACATGCTGGGCCCTTCTTGCTCTCATGCATCACGCCATGCGTGGCTGGAGGTGAGGCCAGTGTGACATGCTGGGCCCTTCTTGCTCTCATGCATCACGCCATGCGTGGCTGGAGGTGAGGCCAGTGTGACATGCTGGGCCCTTCTTGCTCTCATGCATCACGCCATGCGTGGCTGGAGGTGAGGCCAGTGTGACATGCTGGGCCCTTCTTGCTCTCATGCATCACGCCATGCGTGGCTGGAGGTGAGGCCAGTGTGACATGCTGGGCCCTTCTTGCTCTCATGCATCACGCCATGCGTGGCTGGAGGTGAGGCCAGTGTGACATGCTGGGCCCTTCTTGCTCTCATGCATCACGCCATGCGTGGCTGGAGGTGAGGCCAGTGTGACATGCTGGGCCCTTCTTGCTCTCATGCATCACGCCATGCGTGGCTGGAGGTGAGGCCAGTGTGACATGCTGGGCCCTTCTTGCTCTCATGCATCACGCCATGCGTGGCTGGAGGTGGGGCCAGTGTGACATGCTGGGCCCTTCTTGCTCTCATGCATCACGCCATGCGTGGCTGGAGGTGAGGCCAGTGTGACATGCTGGGCCCTTCTTGCTCTCATGCATCACGCCATGCGTGGCTGGAGGTGAGGCCAGTGTGACATGCTGGGCCCTTCTTGCTCTCATGCATCACGCCATGCGTGGCTGGAGGTGAGGCCAGTGTGACATGCTGGGCCCTTCTTGCTCTCATGCATCACGCCATGCGTGGCTGGAGGTGAGGCCAGTGTGACATGCTGGGCCCTTCTTGCTCTCATGCATCACGCCATGCGTGGCTGGAGGTGAGGCCAGTGTGACATGCTGGGCCCTTCTTGCTCTCATGCATCACGCCATGCGTGGCTGGAGGTGAGGCCAGTGTGACATGCTGGGCCCTTCTTGCTCTCATGCATCACGCCATGCGTGGCTGGAGGTGAGGCCAGTGTGACATGCTGGGCCCTTCTTGCTCTCATGCATCACGCCATGCGTGGCTGGAGGTGAGGCCAGTGTGACATGCTGGGCCCTTCTTGCTCTCATGCGTCACGCCATGCGTGGCTGGAGGTGAGGCCAGTGTGACATGCTGGGCCCTTCTTGCTCTCATGCATCACGCCATGCGTGGCTGGAGGTGAGGCCAGTGTGACATGCTGGGCCCTTCTTGCTCTCATGCATCACGCCATGCGTGGCTGGAGGTGAGGCCAGTGTGACATGCTGGGCCCTTCTTGCTCTCATGCATCACGCCATGCGTGGCTGGAGGTGAGGCCAGTGTGACATGCTGGGCCCTTCTTGCTCTCATGCATCACGCCATGCGTGGCTGGAGGTGAGGCCAGTGTGACATGCTGGGCCCTTCTTGCTCTCATGCATCACGCCATGCGTGGCTGGAGGTGAGGCCAGTGTGACATGCTGGGCCCTTCTTGCTCTCATGCATCACGCCATGCGTGGCTGGAGGTGAGGCCAGTGTGACATGCTGGGCCCTTCTTGCTCTCATGCATCACGCCATGCGTGGCTGGAGGTGAGGCCAGTGTGACATGCTGGGCCCTTCTTGCTCTCATGCATCACGCCATGCGTGGCTGGAGGTGAGGCCAGTGTGACATGCTGGGCCCTTCTTGCTCTCATGCATCACGCCATGCGTGGCTGGAGGTGAGGCCAGTGTGACATGCTGGGCCCTTCTTGCTCTCATGCATCACGCCATGCGTGGCTGGAGGTGAGGCCAGTGTGACATGCTGGGCCCTTCTTGCTCTCATGCATCACGCCATGCGTGGCTGGAGGTGAGGCCAGTGTGACATGCTGGGCCCTTCTTGCTCTCATGCATCACGCCATGCGTGGCTGGAGGTGAGGCCAGTGTGACATGCTGGGCCCTTCTTGCTCTCATGCATCACGCCATGCGTGGCTGGAGGTGAGGCCAGTGTGACATGCTGGGCCCTTCTTGCTCTCATGCATCACGCCATGCGTGGCTGGAGGTGAGGCCAGTGTGACATGCTGGGCCCTTCTTGCTCTCATGCATCACGCCATGCGTGGCTGGAGGTGAGGCCAGTGTGACATGCTGGGCCCTTCTTGCTCTCATGCATCACGCCATGCGTGGCTGGAGGTGAGGCCAGTGTGACATGCTGGGCCCTTCTTGCTCTCATGCATCACGCCATGCGTGGCTGGAGGTGAGGCCAGTGTGACATGCTGGGCCCTTCTTGCTCTCATGCATCACGCCATGCGTGGCTGGAGGTGAGGCCAGTGTGACATGCTGGGCCCTTCTTGCTCTCATGCGTCACGCCATGCGTGGCTGGAGGTGAGGCCAGTGTGACATGCTGGGCCCTTCTTGCTCTCATGCATCACGCCATGCGTGGCTGGAGGTGAGGCCAGTGTGACATGCTGGGCCCTTCTTGCTCTCATGCATCACGCCATGCGTGGCTGGAGGTGAGGCCAGTGTGACATGCTGGGCCCTTCTTGCTCTCATGCATCACGCCATGCGTGGCTGGAGGTGAGGCCAGTGTGACATGCTGGGCCCTTCTTGCTCTCATGCATCACGCCATGCGTGGCTGGAGGTGAGGCCAGTGTGACATGCTGGGCCCTTCTTGCTCTCATGCATCACGCCATGCGTGGCTGGAGGTGAGGCCAGTGTGACATGCTGGGCCCTTCTTGCTCTCATGCATCACGCCATGCGTGGCTGGAGGTGAGGCCAGTGTGACATGCTGGGCCCTTCTTGCTCTCATGCATCACGCCATGCGTGGCTGGAGGTGAGGCCAGTGTGACATGCTGGGCCCTTCTTGCTCTCATGCATCACGCCATGCGTGGCTGGAGGTGAGGCCAGTGTGACATGCTGGGCCCTTCTTGCTCTCATGCATCACGCCATGCGTGGCTGGAGGTGAGGCCAGTGTGACATGCTGGGCCCTTCTTGCTCTCATGCATCACGCCATGCGTGGCTGGAGGTGAGGCCAGTGTGACATGCTGGGCCCTTCTTGCTCTCATGCATCACGCCATGCGTGGCTGGAGGTGAGGCCAGTGTGACATGCTGGGCCCTTCTTGCTCTCATGCATCACGCCATGCGTGGCTGGAGGTGAGGCCAGTGTGACATGCTGGGCCCTTCTTGCTCTCATGCATCACGCCATGCGTGGCTGGAGGTGAGGCCAGTGTGACATGCTGGGCCCTTCTTGCTCTCATGCATCACGCCATGCGTGGCTGGAGGTGAGGCCAGTGTGACATGCTGGGCCCTTCTTGCTCTCATGCATCACGCCATGCGTGGCTGGAGGTGAGGCCATGTGACATGCTGGGCCCTTCTTGCTCTCATGCATCACGCCATGCGTGGCTGGAGGTGAGGCCAGTGTGACATGCTGGGCCCTTCTTGCTCTCATGCATCACGCCATGCGTGGCTGGAGGTGAGGCCAGTGTGACATGCTGGGCCCTTCTTGCTCTCATGCATCACGCCATGCGTGGCTGGTGGCAAGGCCACCGTGTCATGCCATGCCCTTGTTGCTCTCATGAATCATGCTATGCATAGCTGTTTCTTATGCCCATGTGTCTCTCATGACTGTATAGCTCGTCATGCATCAATGCATGGCAGGAGTGAGGTTGCCACGCATGCATTCCTCTCATGATTAGCTCACATCATCTACTCTAATCTCCATTGCTGTCATGTGTCCCCAGTTCCCTGCCATTAACAGACCCGTTTGGGAATGTGTACACTGTATGGCCCAAGCTATACTCGTACGTCGCCGATTACCCAGAAGGGAGCCGTGTGACTAGCACGATGCAACACGCATCGAACCGCCCTTGCTCGGTTTGTTACGCACATAAAGACGACCTTGCAAACATGGACCCAACGCTGTTTCATTGGCGGACTGTGGAGCACCAACAATGGCTCATGACAGCAGACTTGAAGACGCGGACCGACTATTCTACACACCCTGTCCCCGTACGTACATTAGAGGCCTCCCCTCACCAGCTCTCGATTCACGTCATGCATTGGTAGTTGGTGTAGGGCAGAGAGCATACCTCCTCCCCTCTCCCTCACCCATGCAGTGGGGGGTTGGGGCTAAGTGGCATCGCAAACACCTCTCACGCATTGCAGGGTTGTGTGGCTGATATGCATGCCTTCCTACCCACACCATCTCTCACGCCGTTTGTTGCACGAAGGGTGTGAAGCAGAGAGGCATACCTTCCTCCCCTCACCCTCACTCACGCCTCTCATGCCTTGGAGGGCGTGGGCCTGAGAGTGTGTGTGTATTTACAGAATCTTTTTGCTATTCCTTCATCTAACCCTTGTTTTGCAGAGCTTCCTTTGGAATGTGAACCGCGCGCATGAAATCCATGAACCTTGGGGCAACCCCTACTTGGCTATCATGCTAGATGTGTTACATGTTGTACTCCAGGGCGTGTGGCGATACATTCTCGAAGAGGTGGTACATGGCGAGGACATTAACGAAATGAACAGGTGGGCTTTCTTTGGTCTCATTTTGCCGGATGGTTTGTCAATTTGTGTCTAGCTGCTACAGGCAATGCTCCACGGATGCCTTCATTATTACACCAACCCCTGCCACCTTTTCTCCAAATACAATAGGCGACTCGGCGTCCTAGCGAGGGAGGATAGGTTCTCCTCGTACAAATTACCCATTGACGGTCACTACTTCAATCCAGGGGCAGGCTATTCTGCATCGGAGCATGCAGCAGTGATTAAGGTGTGTGAGTGTGCATGCTGGTGTCGTCTCTGGTTTACTCCAAAATTTATTTGTCATTACAACACCCAATGACGTAACCAATCTCTAATCGTTTTGGCACAGGTGGTATTGTTGATTATGTCCGATGGGCTTTTGAAAGCACCAGTCAAGATGGCTGTCCTACGAAATTTCGTGAAGTGGTTCAATAAATACTTTCGTGCAACTGTCTACCCGGAGAGTCTTTTGCGTGAATACACTGAAGACACACAAGAGTGAGTCCTCCCTTCCCCCTGTTACACACCTCACTTGTCGCTGTTCCCCACTACACTCCGTGCTTTTCCCCACAACGCTTTCTATTGTTCCACTCTTCCTTCCCACTGTTACCCTTCTTCGCTCCCCCCTGTACACCGCCTCACTTAACCCTGTTTCCCACCTCCCTTCACCCTGATCCCCACATCACTTCCCCCTAAACCCCACCTAACTTGCCCCTGTTCCCAACCTCCGTTCCCCGCTGTTTTCCACAACCCTTCCCCTTTGTTCCCCACCTCACTCCCTTCTTCCAACACAGGATGGTGCGTTTACTCAGGACCAATCTCCCAAGAGCCGGGCATGGCTGGCTTCTAGTCAAGGTGCACAAGCTCGTCCACTTCCCTGATGCTGTTTGACGTGCTGGTGCACATGGAGAGTACTGCACCGAGCTCTTCGAGAACGCCCACACGACGTCATGCAAACGGCCTTTCCGCGCGTCGAACTACCGTAACTACGACGATGCCATCATGCGTTCCTCTGAAATGAGATGCGCATTGTTGGATTTGCCCTCAGTGTTCAACAACCTCCCTGGACGTGATACTGCGATAATCAAGGTGGGAAAACAAACTCATGGCTGGTGGTAAGAGCAAGCATGGCATGTCGTGCCCATGTGTCTCTTACGCATCATGCCATGCATGGCTGGTGGTAAGAGACAGCATGGCTCTCCTGCCCTTGTGTCTCTCGGGAATCATGCCATGCATGGCTGGTGGTAAGAGCCAGCATGGCTCTCATGCCCATGTGTCTCTCATGAATCATGCCATGCATGGCTGGTGGTAAGAGCCAGCATGCCTCTCATGCCCATGTGTCTCTCATGCATCATGCCATGCATGGCTGGTGGTAAGAGCCAGCATGGCTCTCATGCCCATGTGTCTCTCATGAATCATGCCATGCATGGCTGGTGGTAAGAGCCAGCATGGCTCTCATGCCCATGTCTCTCTCATGCATCATGCCATGCATGGCTGGTGGTAAGAGCCAGCATGGCTCTCATGCCCATGTCTCTCTCATGCATCATGCCATGCATGGCTGGTGGTAAGAGCCAGCATGGCTCTCATGCCCATGTGTCTCTCATGAATCATGCCATGCATGGCTGGTGGTAAGAGCCAGCATGGCTCTCATGCCCATGTCTCTCTCATGCATCATGCCATGCATGGCTGGTGGTAAGAGCCAGCATGGCTCTCATGCCCATGTGTCTCTCATGAATCATGCCATGCATGGCTGGTGGTAAGAGCCAGCATGGCTCTCATGCCCATGTCTCTCTCATGCATCATGCCATGCATGGCTGGTGGTAGGAGCCAGCCTGGCTCTCATGCCCATGTCTCTCTCATGCATCATGACATGCATGGCTGGTGGTAGGAGCCAGCATGGCTACCGTACCCATGTCTCTCTCATGCATAATGCCATGCATGGCTGGTGGTAAGAACCAGCATGGCATGTCGTGCCCATGTGTCTATCATGCATGTGCAATCTCTCCAACCTGCTTCAGGCTGAACGGAACCAAAACCCAGTCCTCACAGCGACAAGCACCGCCATGACACTTCCACACGTTGCTGATGGTCGGAAAGCGGAAAAACTCTGGCAAGGGTTGGTGGAGCTACACGGAAATGCGATGAACGATATCACAACAACCCTCGCCGTACACGGCTTCCAAAATGACATTGTCCATGTGAGTCCATTACCTAACCAAATGTCGTATGATAAGTGCCAACTCTAACCTTGAAATCCGGGCAATTTTTTTATGTCCACACTCGGTTCGGCTTTTTATAAAGTCCCCACTTTTTCCACCCCAATGCAGGTTCATTCTGCGGTTGCACTCCCAAAGAATGACTTGAACGAGGCCCACTATGCAAGGGCAGCCGTGGCTTTCCATGGAAACCCGTGGTTTTCATATGTATCTCTGGACAGTAACTTGGTCGGTATCCACACCACAGGGGGGCCTCGTGTTGTTTATGCCCAGCTCCTCATGCTTTTCCACGTCCAAACCCGAATTGGACGGGAAACAGAGAAGACCCCACTCGCGTACGTGAAGCTACTGGACGTGAGAGGCGAGGATGATGAAACATCCTTTGTGAAATTGTCCAACCGCCGTAGGGCTGAGGCCTATCGCGTCGTGCACATTGATGCCATCTTGAGGGCCGAACATATAGTTCCTCTATTTCAGAGGACCACGCTGAAATTGTTGAACCCCTATGCGTGGTGATGAAATGGCCTTAGTCTAAGGTGAGGTAGCTTCTCATGTTGTGTAACAGCTATGCTCGAGTTTAGTATTTATGATTAATAATACGCAACTGTTTAAATACATACGGTAATCATTTAGCGACGGTAACATCCAACCTACCACAACAAATTATTTCATGGAGTTCAGCTGCCTTAATTATACGTGAAATACTAAGTAATACGTGACAACAACAAAGGATGTCTTAAAAATAATAGCAGGTTAGAATATCAAGGCTCATCACAACAAAGGTATGAGTAACAAAAAAAATCATGTTACAATGGAACGGAGATGCTTTTGTGCGGGACAAGTTGGTCTGGTTTTGAGCCAAACCTTCTCCAATCGCTGCTTCTAGGAAGTGTGTCTCGAAACCCTTTTCTTACAACAGAGTTAGTTCGAATTGAAGCACCAATTAAAATCGCTCGAATGGTGTCGAGGAAGTTGCGAGGATAAAGTCGAAAAGTATCGACCAATAGAATCGCTCTCAGGGTCCCGCCGCAACTTCCGTGGTGATGCAGCCTACCGAATCCCGAGCCGCGAACGCAGAAAAGTAACCTGCGGGACAGTTCGGGAAAGTTACTCTCAGGCAAACCCTAAAAAACATCCCACCCCAACCTCACACATTTTGGGATGTCCCAGATCCATCTGGTTGTCCCAACAGTCAAACAGCGCATCAGTTTCTCCTAATGCGCGCACGGCGAGCGTCTTGGGTTCATGGCAGCGGCGGGGATGGCAGAGGAAGTACAAATAGCGACCTCCCTGGATGCAATCCGCAGCGCTGCCTCGCAGGTTTCTTTTCACGCCACGCCTCTCGAGTCTTCCTCGCCCATCCCAGCAACGTCACGGCCACGAGGGCTTCGACTGAAACCGCCGTCGTCCCTCCCACCACTCCCATTCGCATCCATTCGCATCCATTCGCGTCTGGAGCGTTTTAGGATTACTCTCCGCCCGCCATGATGTCGCTTCGCCTCGCCTCGTCCCGCGTCGTCCCGGCCCTCGCGCTCGTCGCGCTCCTCTGCTTCGCGGGCGTCGATCACGCGGCTTGCAGCGCGCGCTCGCTCGGCCTTCCAAGGTTCGGCGGCTTGGTGGGGGGATCGGGAACACGCGGAGGCTGGTCCTTCTTCCGCCCCCCGCGACCCGGCGGCGGCGACGGAAGTGGAGCGACGAGCGGCGGGCAGAGCGGGCAGGGTGGGTTTGGCGCGCAAGGAGGTGGCGGGATGAGCGGACAAACGGGTAGTGCGGGCGGAGGAGGCATGGGCGGAGGAGGTACGGGCGGAGGAAGTATGGGCGGTGGAGGTATGGGCGGAGGTATGGGCGGAGGGGGAATGGGCGGAGGAGGCATGGGAGGAGGAAGCATGCGCGGAGGAGGCATGGGCGGAGGAGGCATGGGCGGCGGAGGCATGGGCGGCGGAGGCATGGGTGGAGGAGGCATGGGCGGCGGAGGCATGGGCGGAGGGGGAATGGGCGGAGGAGGCATGAGCGGAGGAGGTATGGGCGGAGGAGGCATGAGCGGAGGAGGCATGGGCGGTGGAGGCATGGGCGGAGGAGGCATGGGCGGCGGAGGCATGGGCGGAGGAGGCATGGGCGGAGGAGGCATGGGCGGAGGAGGCATGGGCGGAGGAGGCATGGGCGGCGGAGGCATGGGCGGAGGAGGCATGGGGGGAGGCAGCGGGTCATCGGGTGGGAGTGCGTGTGGCAACAGCAGCAGCAGCAGGAGCGCCAAGCTCACGAGCAGCAATGGCAAGAGGTGCGCCCACCTGCTCTGCCACACTGCCTGCCTTGCCACTTAGCATGTCTCCTTTCCATCACTTGTTCATTTCCATCACTTGTTCATTTCCATCACTTGTTCATTTCCATCACTTGTTCATTTCCATCACTTGTTCATTTCCATCACTTGTTCATTTCCATCACTTGTTCATTTCCATCACTTGTTCATTTCCATCACTTGTTCATTTCCATCACTTGTTCATTTCCATCACTTGTTCATTTCCATCACTTGTTCATTTCCATCACTTGTTCATTTCCATCACTTGTTCATTTCCATCACTTGTTCATTTCCATCACTTGTTCATTTCCATCACTTGTTCATTTCCATCACTTGTTCATTTCCATCACTTGTTCATTTCCATCACTTGTTCATTTCCATCACTTGTTCATTTCCATCACTTGTTCATTTCCATCACTTGTTCATTTCCATCACTTGTTCATTTCCATCACTTGTTCATTTCCATCACTTGTTCATTTCCATCACTTGTTCATTTCCATCACTTGTTCATTTCCATCACTTGTTCATTTCCATCACTTGTTCATTTCCATCTCTTCTTCTGCCCCCGTGTCTCCTTTCCATCACTTGTTCATTTCCATCTCTTCTTCTGCCCCCGTGTCTCCTTTCCATCACTTGTTCATTTCCATCTCTTCTTCTGCCCCCGTGTCTCCTTTCCATCACTTGTTCATTTCCATCTCTTCTTCTGCCCCCGTGTCTCCTTTCCATCACTTGTTCATTTCCATCTCTTCTTCTGCCCCCGTGTCTCCTTTCCATCACTTGTTCATTTCCATCTCTTCTTCTGCCCCCGTGTCTCCTTTCCATCACTTGTTCATTTCCATCTCTTCTTCTGCCCCCATGTCTCCTTTCCATCACTTGTTCATTTCCATCTCTTCTTCTGCCCCCGTGTCTCCTTTCCATCACTTGTTCATTTCCATCTCTTCTTCTGCCCCCGTGTCTCCTTTCCATCACTTGTTCATTTCCATCTCTTCTTCTGCCCCCGTGTCTCCTTTCCATCACTTGTTCATTTCCATCTCTTCTTCTGCCCCCGTGTCTCCTTTCCATCACTTGTTCATTTCCATCTCTTCTTCTGCCCCCGTGTCTCCTTTCCATCACTTGTTCATTTCCATCTCTTCTTCTGCCCCCGTGTCTCCTTTCCATCACTTGTTCATTTCCATCTCTTCTTCTGCCCCCGTGTCTCCTTTCCATCACTTGTTCATTTCCATCTCTTCTTCTGCCCCCGTGTCTCCTTTCCATCACTTGTTCATTTCCATCTCTTCTTCTGCCCCCGTGTCTCCTTTCCATCACTTGTTCATTTCCATCTCTTCTTCTGCCCCCGTGTCTCCTTTCCATCACTTGTTCATTTCCATCTCTTCTTCTGCCCCCGTGTCTCCTTTCCATCACTTGTTCATTTCCATCTCTTCTTCTGCCCCCGTGTCTCCTTTCCATCACTTGTTCATTTCCATCTCTTCTTCTGCCCCCGTGTCTCCTTTCCATCACTTGTTCATTTCCATCTCTTCTTCTGCCCCCGTGTCTCCTTTCCATCACTTGTTCATTTCCATCTCTTCTTCTGCCCCCGTGTCTCCTTTCCATCACTTGTTCATTTCCATCACTTGTTCATTTCCATCACTTGTTCATTTCCATCACTTGTTCATTTCCATCACTTGTTCATTTCCATCACTTGTTCATTTCCATCACTTGTTCATTTCCATCACTTGTTCATTTCCATCACTTGTTCATTTCCATCACTTGTTCATTTCCATCACTTGTTCATTTCCATCACTTGTTCATTTCCATCACTTGTTCATTTCCATCACTTGTTCATTTCCATCTCTTCTTCTGCCCCCGTGTCTCCTTTCCATCACTTGTTCATTTCCATCTCTTCTTCTGCCCCCGTGTCTCCTTTCCATCACTTGTTCATTTCCATCTCTTCTTCTGCCCCCGTGTCTCCTTTCCATCACTTGTTCATTTCCATCTCTTCTTCTGCCCCCGTGTCTCCTTTCCATCACTTGTTCATTTCCATCTCTTCTTCTGCCCCCGTGTCTCCTTTCCATCACTTGTTCATTTCCATCTCTTCTTCTGCCCCCGTGTCTCCTTTCCATCACTTGTTCATTTCCATCTCTTCTTCTGCCCCCGTGTCTCCTTTCCATCACTTGTTCATTTCCATCTCTTCTTCTGCCCCCGTGTCTCCTTTCCATCACTTGTTCATTTCCATCTCTTCTTCTGCCCCCGTGTCTCCTTTCCATCACTTGTTCATTTCCATCTCTTCTTCTGCCCCCGTGTCTCCTTTCCATCACTTGTTCATTTCCATCTCTTCTTCTGCCCCCGTGTCTCCTTTCCATCACTTGTTCATTTCCATCTCTTCTTCTGCCCCCGTGTCTCCTTTCCATCACTTGTTCATTTCCATCTCTTCTTCTGTCCCCGTGTCTCCTTTCCATCACTTGTTCATTTCCATCTCTTCTTCTGCCCCCGTGTCTCCTTTCCATCACTTGTTCATTTCCATCTCTTCTTCTGCCCCCGTGTCTCCTTTCCATCACTTGTTCATTTCCATCTCTTCTTCTGCCCCCGTGTCTCCTTTCCATCACTTGTTCATTTCCATCTCTTCTTCTGCCCCCGTGTCTCCTTTCCATCACTTGTTCATTTCCATCTCTTCTTCTGCCCCCGTGTCTCCTTTCCATCACTTGTTCATTTCCATCTCTTCTTCTGCCCCCGTGTCTCCTTTCCATCACTTGTTCATTTCCATCTCTTCTTCTGCCCCCGTGTCTCCTTTCCATCACTTGTTCATTTCCATCTCTTCTTCTGCCCCCGTGTCTCCTTTCCATCACTTGTTCATTTCCATCTCTTCTTCTGCCCCCGTGTCTCCTTTCCATCACTTGTTCATTTCCATCTCTTCTTCTGCCCCCGTGTCTCCTTTCCATCACTTGTTCATTTCCATCTCTTCTTCTGCCCCCGTGTCTCCTTTCCATCACTTGTTCATTTCCATCTCTTCTTCTGCCCCCGTGTCTCCTTTCCATCACTTGTTCATTTCCATCTCTTCTTCTGCCCCCGTGTCTCCTTTCCATCACTTGTTCATTTCCATCTCTTCTTCTGCCCCCGTGTCTCCTTTCCATCACTTGTTCATTTCCATCTCTTCTTCTGCCCCCGTGTCTCCTTTCCATCACTTGTTCATTTCCATCTCTTCTTCTGCCCCCGTGTCTCCTTTCCATCACTTGTTCATTTCCATCTCTTCTTCTGCCCCCGTGTCTCCTTTCCATCACTTGTTCATTTCCATCTCTTCTTCTGCCCCCGTGTCTCCTTTCCATCACTTGTTCATTTCCATCTCTTCTTCTGCCCCCGTGTCTCCTTTCCATCACTTGTTCATTTCCATCTCTTCTTCTGCCCCCGTGTCTCCTTTCCATCACTTGTTCATTTCCATCTCTTCTTCTGCCCCCGTGTCTCCTTTCCATCACTTGTTCATTTCCATCTCTTCTTCTGCCCCCGTGTCTCCTTTCCATCACTTGTTCATTTCCATCTCTTCTTCTGCCCCCGTGTCTCCTTTCCATCACTTGTTCATTTCCATCTCTTCTTCTGCCCCCGTGTCTCCTTTCCATCACTTGTTCATTTCCATCTCTTCTTCTGCCCCCGTGTCTCCTTTCCATCACTTGTTCATTTCCATCTCTTCTTCTGCCCCCGTGTCTCCTTTCCATCACTTGTTCATTTCCATCTCTTCTTCTGCCCCCGTGTCTCCTTTCCATCACTTGTTCATTTCCATCTCTTCTTCTGCCCCCGTGTCTCCTTTCCATCACTTGTTCATTTCCATCTCTTCTTCTGCCCCCGTGTCTCCTTTCCATCACTTGTTCATTTCCATCTCTTCTTCTGCCCCCGTGTCTCCTTTCCATCACTTGTTCATTTCCATCTCTTCTTCTGCCCCCGTGTCTCCTTTCCATCACTTGTTCATTTCCATCTCTTCTTCTGCCCCCGTGTCTCCTTTCCATCACTTGTTCATTTCCATCTCTTCTTCTGCCCCCGTGTCTCCTTTCCATCACTTGTTCATTTCCATCTCTTCTTCTGCCCCCGTGTCTCCTTTCCATCACTTGTTCATTTCCATCTCTTCTTCTGCCCCCGTGTCTCCTTTCCATCACTTGTTCATTTCCATCTCTTCTTCTGCCCCCGTGTCTCCTTTCCATCACTTGTTCATTTCCATCTCTTCTTCTGCCCCCGTGTCTCCTTTCCATCACTTGTTCATTTCCATCTCTTCTTCTGCCCCCGTGTCTCCTTTCCATCACTTGTTCATTTCCATCTCTTCTTCTGCCCCCGTGTCTCCTTTCCATCACTTGTTCATTTCCATCTCTTCTTCTGCCCCCGTGTCTCCTTTCCATCACTTGTTCATTTCCATCTCTTCTTCTGCCCCCGTGTCTCCTTTCCATCACTTGTTCATTTCCATCTCTTCTTCTGCCCCCGTGTCTCCTTTCCATCACTTGTTCATTTCCATCTCTTCTTCTGCCCCCGTGTCTCCTTTCCATCACTTGTTCATTTCCATCTCTTCTTCTGCCCCCGTGTCTCCTTTCCATCACTTGTTCATTTCCATCTCTTCTTCTGCCCCCGTGTCTCCTTTCCATCACTTGTTCATTTCCATCTCTTCTTCTGCCCCCGTGTCTCCTTTCCATCACTTGTTCATTTCCATCTCTTCTTCTGCCCCCGTGTCTCCTTTCCATCACTTGTTCATTTCCATCTCTTCTTCTGCCCCCGTGTCTCCTTTCCATCACTTGTTCATTTCCATCTCTTCTTCTGCCCCCGTGTCTCCTTTCCATCACTTGTTCATTTCCATCTCTTCTTCTGCCCCCGTGTCTCCTTTCCATCACTTGTTCATTTCCATCTCTTCTTCTGCCCCCGTGTCTCCTTTCCATCACTTGTTCATTTCCATCTCTTCTTCTGCCCCCGTGTCTCCTTTCCATCACTTGTTCATTTCCATCTCTTCTTCTGCCCCCGTGTCTCCTTTCCATCACTTGTTCATTTCCATCTCTTCTTCTGCCCCCGTGTCTCCTTTCC